AGAAACATCGATGAGAGAGAAACATTGATCAGCTGCCTTCTGCACACCTCCTACTGGGGATGTGCCCGCAACTCAGGTACATGCCCTTGACCGGAACCGAACCTGGGACCTTTCAGTCCGAAGGCCGACGCTCTATCCACTGAGCCAAACCGGTTTCGGCAGGTTCTAATTCTTTATAAAAAAAATTTCATTTGTTGGGAGTTCTTCAAAAACTGGCATTTGAGTAACAATAATCCTCAGGTGACATATTAGCCCACTTAAGTATTAGAGAAAAGTGACATTAACCAAAATATAACTGATCCACTGGCCTGGTTACTGAGCAAATCATGGCTCTGACCCTGAGAGAAGCTTCTGGAGTTCCCCTAAGTTTTAGAAGACTGGCTTTGAGAAATCCAAGGTCACAGGAACAAATAAGTGTGGCAAATGTTTCATGATACAGCTCCCTTTTGGAGATTCACAATATATGTTAGACTAATAAAGGCTCCGAGAAGTCCTACAATACCAAAAATCTGTTTAACTTTATATCCCAGTGTGTTTCCCTTACTTAATAGGCTATACACCGTCTTTATGATTGTTATAAATGGTACTAGAATGTTTCCATCTGAATTATCTTGAGCTCTGAAGATTTTTGAACTTGATCATTCTGGCTCCATTTAGGACACCAGCTTCATGCTATGATCCATGGCTCCACTGACTTCAACCATCTTCTCTAGGAAGGTCCTCTTCTGACCTAATTGCTATCTTGCTCATCAATGTCTCCAACTGGAGGACTTTCTTTGGCCTGGTCCTTAGCAGGTCCCAGCTCATATGTTCCCATTTCTAAGAAGGAATACTTTTCCTTTACCCCACACAAAATCATGTACTGCCCTGGATATTCAGTTAATTGTGATGTAAGTGAATTTCCTACTCGCCCTGGCCAGTGTGGCTCAGTTGGTTAGTGTTGCTCATGCACTGAAGGGTCACAGTTTCAATTCCTGGTCAGGGCACATACCAATTGATGTGTCTCTCTCACACTGATGTTTCTCTCTCTCCCTTCTCCCTCTAGAATCGATGAGAAAAAAGTTACTTCCTATTCTTCTAACCCCCATCACAACCTCTGGTTTCATGATCCCAAAGAAGAAACACTTAGGGACCTTCATTCTCGTAGCTGACAGAGTCATTGAGATGGACCAATTGACCTCTAATTTCCTTCCAGACATGACTAAGCTTAGAGTTCTGGCGTAATAATGTATCTTCCCTGGACTTGTACCTATTTCCTAGTTTGGTAATAACCCTTAGCGGGATCTCAGCGGAAGGAAAAGAGGGCTGGAGAGTAATGGTCATCAGCACCCATCAGCTCTTTCAATTATCAGGGAAGCTGATGAGGCCAAGATTGCAAGTGGAATTCCTGTCCAGGACAGCTAGCTGCTTTCAGAAAAATACCTCAATCGATTGCCACTCCTGGGAAAATAACCTGAGTTCATCTAGGGCCGTGGTCGGCAAACTGCAGCTCGCGAGTCACATGCGGCTCTTTGGCCCCTTGAGTGTGGCTCTTCCTAAACCTTAGGAGTACCCTAATTAAGTTAATAACAATGTACCTACCTATATAGTTTAAGTTTAAAAAATTTGGCTCTCAAAAGAAATTTCAATCGTTGTACTGTTGATATTTGGCTCTGTTGACTAATGAGTTTGCCGACCACTTATCTAGGGTGACTGATGGCCCATCCCTAGCTGTGAGCAGCCCTGATTCTTCCAGGCTCAATAAAACCAACCCTGAATGGCCCCATCTCTCATTATGGCTCAGTACTGTTTGAGGTTCTCATTCAAGAGTCATTTCCTTAGAAGGGGTCGGTCAATGGGGAAGAAAATGGGTCACCTGTAATACTTTCAACAATAAAGATTAATTTTTAAAAAACAGCCATCTCCTTCTTCCCGGTCTATTACAATTCACTTTTTCTACCTCTTTTAACTAAATAATTTAAATGCTGGGTAACACTGGACAACCCACACCTACCTTTGCTCCCTGGGTAACGGCCAGCTATTCTAACAGAAAGGGCTTCCCATGCGTCATCACCTCTCCTGCAAATTCTTATTAAAAGAAGTTTTGGTGGGCCCTGGTCAATAGCTCCGGTAGTTAGAATGTCATTCCGATATGCCAAGATTGCAGGTTCAATCCCTCTCAGGGCACATGCAAGAATCAACTCATGGATGTATAGATAAGTGGAACAAATCGATGTTTCTCTCTCCTCCTCTCTCTAAAAATCAATCAATAAAAATTTTAAAAAAGAAAATGAAGTGGTGAGAGAAAGGCAACTGAATTGCTTTTAAAAAAAAAGATGTTTTGGTGGAATAGGATGGTCATAACAGAATATATATAATATTCTAGGTCACTCCTATCGACTTACTATAGCTTAGGTTGTCAAATTCTTACAAATGAGAAGAAAATCCGTTTCTTCCCCCTCCATTGTTACCGAGGCTGAATCGATGCTGCTGAGCTATGTCCATGCTCCAGCGCTGCCTTTTTTTAGCCCGAGAAAAACAAAGTCAGCTGCTCTGGAAGGCAGCCAGGCTCCTCGGGCACCTTCCTTTGTGACTTTTCAAACTTCAGAAGGACCAGCAGGTTCTGAAGGTCTCTTAGATGGCCTGTCCTCTGGAGAACTGTCGTTGTGTAGTTCTTTGTTTATTGTATAATTAAGATTTTTTCCTACAACCAAGCTAAAGATAAATTTTTCCATTTCCTGGGCAAATCACATTTCCACATAATCCTAAACACAGGCAGTCACTCACTGTGATGAAGCTTGAATGTCTTTATAACTGTGATCATGTGGAAACCCTAGATGATGACCCTAAATAGAAAGTTCTCGTGGCTGGATTTTGTCACAAATGAGGGCAGCATGAGGTCTCAGTAATAGGCTGGAGAGTCACATAGAAGACCGAGGGGAGCCTAGGAATAGACAAACATTGCTCTGGGCTAATCCTATGAAAAGAGACACCACTCTGGCTTCCCTGAGGGAGGGGTAGGGCGGGGTGACCCAAATTGGAAGTCTGACATCGGGGAAGTTGTGCTTTGGGGCACAGACAGGAAATATAAAGCTTGGAATGACATCAAGAAGAGCTATTTAGGATTAAAGGATCAGGGGATAAAGAGTCCACTGAAAAAGCATTTAAAACAGGAAAAAAGATGAAGACAATAGAAAACATCTGCTGTAAATCCTGGGCGCAGACCCTGTGGACACAGCGGAGCCGGAGTCACTGGGAAGGAGTGCACCTGCAGCCAGAGAGAGAAGCCCAGACTCCCCCAGCCACTGGAGTGAGAAAGAAAAGCTGTCCTATATTTGGGATGGAAAACAAAAGTGGATTAGTTGCTTCCCTGTGGAGAATGAAATGTGGACCTTGAACTGACATTCAGAGCTGCCCTGCCCTGGCCTCCATGTGTCCAGGCGGCCAGGATCCAGTGACATCACTTAAGCTACTGGGCCTGGAATGAGCATGGTATGTAAGAATTGTGGGCCCACTCTCAAATTCAGGTTGAAGCCTAACCCCCAATGTGATGATATTTGGAGATGGGGTCTATGGGAGGTGATGAGGTCATGAGAGTGGGGCCCTCATGATGGGATTAGTGCCCTTATAACAACAGAATAGGAAGCTTGCTTTTTTTCTCTCTGCTGTGTAAGGACACAGCAAGAAGGTGGCTTTAGGCCAGCGGTTCTCAACCTGTGGGTCGCGACCCCTTTGGGGGTCGAACGACCCTTTCACAGGGGTCGCCTAAGACCATTGGAAAACACATATATAATTACATATTGTTTTTGTGATTAATCACTATGCTTTAATTATGTTCAATTTGTAACAATGAAATTGGGGGTCACCACAACATGAGGAACTATATTAAAGGGTCTCGGCATTAGGAAGGTTGAGAACCACTGCTTTAGGCAAATCAGGAAGAGGGCCCTCACCAGAAACCGAAGCAGCCAATACCTTGATTTTGAACTTCCAGCCTCCAGATGTGAGAAATACACGTCTGTTGTTTAAGCCACCCAGTTTGTGGAATTTATTTTATTTTATTTTATTTTATTTTTTTTTTAGTTTGTGGAATTTATTATGCATCTCAAGCAGACTAAGACCCAACACCCCCCCCCCCCACCCCCCTGCATCAAGTGCCCATACCTGGGTTGCAGGTTTAATCCCCAGCTCTGGTCAGGGAGTGTGTGTGTGTGAGACAACTAATCTCTCAATATCTCTCTCTCTCTCTCTCCTTCCCTCCCTCTCTTTCACTCTCTCTAAAAAAATCAATGGAAAAAATATCTTTGGGGGAGGATTAACAAAAAACCCCCACAAAAGACCAAAAACTCAACTCCATCACAGTTCAGTTAACCATTTTCTTTTCTTTTTTCTTTTTTTTTTACTACCATTTTCTTGTTATGACAGTCTGACCTGTTGGCCGCTGGGGAAATGATACAATGAAAATACCACAACACAATGTGTCATAGGATCCTTTTTTAAAAATGGAAATAATGACTCCAGAGGCTCTTAGAACAAGAAGAAATTAAATGGCTTTTATCAAGCCACTGAGATGGTCCAATCCAGAGCCCTGAGTAAAATAGTTTGAATGTAGTCTTTCTAGTTTCAAGGTTCTCCTGTAAGGGATAAGGCCACCCCCTTTAGGTATAAACCCTACCTTCCATTGATAACAAGCATCATCTCTTTAATACCATGTTTCTAGAAGCTGTTCTGTTATAGTGAACTATCACAAGTAGAACAGCCAAGCTATTTAAAAATGCAAGCAAAGATAATTATGCAAAGTAACTCTCAAGGCATTTTAAATTAACATTCATATTCTGGAACAAATGAAAACAGGTTATTGCATTATATATAACTATGTAATAGCCAACATTTAAATATTTCTGATTCTGAATTATTCCTCTATATTTTTATTAAATTGGTAAGATGAGAAATACAAGGGGAGTCCCAATTAATCTACTGATCATATGCTGAATATTTCAAAATGATTAAATAAAACTTACTGTGTATTCTGGTCCCAGATGTTCATTTGGAAAAAAGGGGAAAAAAGAGAGAGAGAAAAAAAATGATGATTTAGACCACACTTATATGCAATAGAAAACCACAGAACTAACATATACTAGTGCATTATAATTATTAAAAATGTGGTAAAGAAACCTTCCAAAATTAAACTTTTATAAATATTAAATGCTTCATGTTTGCTCTTGAAATTCTTTCATATGGTACTTTGGTGGTTGGTCTGATAAGGACTGTAAGACAATTCAATTAGCCTACGGGTTTGTGGCTAATTAAAAACCAAAGAGTTGGCATTATAAAAGCAAAATTAAAGACTAATAATTCCAGTAGAGCAATTCATTAACCACACAGGCAATCTTTTAAGTGGAAAAGCAGCTCTCAGAACCAATAAGAAGAGCTTGTTATGATGATATTGAAGTGGGATCTTGAATTTTCATGTGTTTGAGGGCAGGAATGAAACCTTCTAAATTTTCTGGCCACAGTTTCTAGTTCAGTATCGGCATAGATATGTCCTATGCTGTAGTATAGGACAGAGAGACCTGACAGACTCTTTTACATAAATTATAGCCAAGGTGTTCTTTGGGGGGTGGGAGAGGGGGTGCTGTAAAACAAATAAGTCAAAATAAACCACACCCCCAAATTACTTGAGAAATCACTTTAAGAAGGCAAGTGAAATGGCTTAGCTTAACACCCCCACCCCCTTCTAGGAAAAGCGAAGACTTGAAAGGACGGTACAGTACGAGTCTCCCACGTCTCTGCTGGGATAACAAACCTGAAATCAGTGAAATCTGACCATGTGATGTCTTAGTGCTACATGTAACATACCGGCTGCACAAAGGACTTACCTGTAATTGTGTAGGGATAATAGTTCCAAGCCTTCTCTGTAACATAAAATATTTTGGGAACAACAGCTCTGGCCCAACTCGGCAGTTTGCTAAGAGGAAAGAAAGAAAGAAAAAGAAAAGACCATCAGAGTCTGTCAGTGCCTTGCTGTGCTGCCCTGTCTTTCTGGATGAATTGACTGCTAGAGAGCGGAGGAGTCCTGAGGCAGCCCTTCTCTCCGCAGCCACCCTTCCCATCCCTCTGGTCTTCCCACAGTTTGTGGTTTTCTGTGCATATTCACCTGCTCCTCAAATGGGTGAAGGCAGAAGGTTACAGCCCGGTGTGGCGTACCTCATAGGACTGGAAGTCTGTCCTCTTAGATCTGATTTACAAGGACATGAGAATTCAGTGGCTGGGAGGTGCTATGTTTAAAGTGTTTGGCCAGCCTGGTCTTTGTCTACTAGGAGTATAGGGCGGGAGAAGTAGTATGAAGGTATGTTTAAACGACAATATGGGACAGGGGGTGAGGGGGGAGCAAATGTTAAAGCCAGATGTCAGCTTAACAATCCAAATGAGCCATGTTTTTTGAAAGTGGACTAAAGCAACAGAGAGTAGCAACTTCAGAGATGCGAAGAGAAACATAATATAACCCCTTCATGACTATAGGGTTGACTGCGTCTTCCCTCAAGGACGTATCCACCTCCTAACCTGTGAATTTAACCTGATTTGAAAATAGAGTTTTTGCAAGACAAAGTCTCCCTAGGTTTGAGAAGGCCATGTGAAGACGGAGGTGGAGACTGTTTGGAGGGATGCAGCTACAAGCCAAGGACTGCCACACATACCCCAAGTCCAAAGAGAGGCAGGAAACAGATTCTCCCTCAGAGCCTTGCTGATGGAGAAGGAATCAGCCCTGCTGATGCCTGGGTTTTAGACTTCTGGCTTCCAGAAAAGTGAGAGGATACATTTGTATTGTTTCCAGCCACCCAGTTTTGGCAATTTGCTGCTGCAGCCTTACAAAACAAATATGACAGAGCGATGCCTCTGGAGCAGGGACCCAGGCAGGCATGTAAAGAAAACAGATTCTTTAAACAGAGAAAACCCAAGCGCACAGGTCCCAACACCTTTTGTAAACCAAGGGCTAATTAAGTTTTGTTTCCCTTCAGAGGCAAATTCCACAGCAAAGGACAGGCCTAGAGAATTTCTTAAATATTGTATTTAAATATACAGTATTATATATTCCTTAAATATGCCTGCACGATTTTATTTCCCCTCAGCAGTACACCCTGGGGTTTTCTGTCTTTCCTATTCTGGTGCCTACAGCTGGGGTCTGGGACGCCGATGTCTAGCAGTACATCAGACCAGCGAGATGATGCAGGCGCGCAGCTCCTCAGGGCTGCATGTTGGCAATAAAGAACACCACGAGGCAGTTTTAAATTCCAAGCTGATAGAGCTAGGAAAGGGGGTGGGGAGAGAATCACGCTTCCAGAATCCCAAATCCCTAATCCCTCTGGACATGGAATTCAATGACAACCAGGGCCAGTAAAATACTGTGTACCTTGAATGTCTCCTCAAATTGTTTCTCCTGTTTCTGACAGTATCCAGGACTTGCTCTTTAAAAGACAAATGTGTATTTTCAATGGTTGGCTGGTTGGATCTAACCCAAAGCTCTGGGCCATTTCTCAGGGTTAAAACAAAGGGAAGATGAAAGCTCCCCTGAGCCAGGTGACTGTGACGAAGCCCACTGCTTCAGGTGGGCCGTGGAGAGAGAGCCGGAGCAGCTTCAGAATTCACATAACCATCCTTCTTGCTGCTCTAATGCAGAACGCCTCACTCCTAGAAAATCATCTCTGCGGTAACTGCTCATTTACCTTACGCTCACACCGCTCAAAAGGAAGGCTGCTTCCCGACAGGCGTTTTTATAGCTTCTGCCTGTGATTTATTCTTTAAGTGGGAGCACACTGGGGCTGATGTCCTGTGTGGGTCATAAGCAAAACTTCCCCTGTGTTCCCTCCTCTTTGCCCCCAATTCCAGAGCGATATGGCGATTAGTATATGGCGATTAGTACAGGGAGGGTGGATTCTACTCACAGGCAAGACCCCAAAGTAGGCGAGGCATTGTTTAGCTTAGACAAAGCATCTATGACTCCCTACCAGCACTGGGGCCCCCCTATTCACTGTCTTCCTTGGGAGCGGTGATCCATCTACACTGCACCCCTCCTCAGATCCATTAGGCTCCTCAGGCATGCCCCTCTGAGACCCAAGTTCCCTTCCTCCACAGCTCATTCCCTGTATCATTTAATAAGCCTCCCAGCATAAGCACATTCCTAAGCAGCAATCATTTTCTGGAAGGAACATGAAAGACACTGGCGATTTTCCATTCACATGGAGACTATTCCCATTTGTGTAAATGGTCAGGACTCTAGAGTCTAGGATCCTTATTTTAGCTGATTCATTCACCAGCTCTTGCAGGATACACAGCCCTGTAGTCAATTACCTTTTCCAGTGAGACACCCTAAAAAACACAATCCTTCAGCCAAGATGGTTGGTATGATTTTATGCGACTGTTCTAATTAGTGTGGGAGGGAGGCCCTTCTGGTGCGAGTCATTTACCGGGCCAGGCGCAGGAGGCTTCTGTGACGAGTTCTCTGATACTTCAGTTTAAATATTTTTAAGCCCATGAACAGACCTTCTCTCAGACCCCAATTTCCCCAGAGCACATCATTATTCAAATCATTCTGGTCTGAGAAAGTAAAATTTAGTTTTCCCTGCAGTAATGATTTATCAGGGCTGCAAGCAAAAATGGAATTAAATTAGTCCCCACTGTTGCTGTCACTTTCACGATGTATCCTGTCACACCGCCTACAGTTCTAAGGAGACGTCTGTCATTCAAGCACACTACTAGGTGTCAAACAAGAACCTCTCTTCCCAGAAAGGCGGCATGGTTCCAAGCATGTCCTCCTGGTCCGCTGGCCAGGACCGAAGCTCCCCATGGCCCCTCTCACCACGACCCAGGTTTAGAGACACTGAGGGAAAAGATGGGCGTTTGTCCCTAAAGCCTTTACCATAATGCAAAGCATGCTGCTGTGAAATGATACCAAGTTTCCCAAAGGCCTTTGTGGAAGACAGACTTTTCAAGACGTTTGGTTTCTTACTTTGAAACTTTAGTATGATGTAGAACGCATCGGCGACACAGCTGGGTGACCAACTCTTCCCGGTTTGCATGGACTGCCCTGGTTTTAGCGCTGGAAGTCCCACAGGCTAAATTCCTCAGTCCTGGGCAAACCGGGAAGAGTCATCCTAAAGCAGCAATTCTCAATGGCAGGTGGGGGTTGGGATTTTGCAGCCCCCTTGGGCGGGGGGGGGGGGGACATTTGATAAAGTCTGGAAACATTTCTGGTGATCACGACTGGGAGGGGTGGGTGGAGGGATGCTGCTGCTGTCTAGAGGCCCAGGATGCTGCCCAATATCCTACAATGCACAGAACAGTGCCCACAACAAAGAACTATCTGGCCCCAATATGAACAGTGCCAAGACTGAGAAACCCAGCCTGGACCTAAGTGAATGTAGTCACTGCAGCCTTCATACATTCTCCAGGTTTCCCTGAATCACAACTGACCCGAGAAGAAGGCCCCATAGGCAGGCATAATCTGAACACTCGGGTTAAAAGTGTTTACCTCTTTCATAAAGAATTTATGAAACTGAAACATAAACATCCCGCTCCATTAGAAGCTTCTGGTACTTTATAATCCAGATTATCACCGCGTTTCCTCATGACATATAATCTCACTTCACAATTAATGCACATTGGGGAATATTGGGCCCCAGGAGGTACTAAACATCATTAGGCCAAATGTGATCTAAGTGGAGTCTAATCTAATTTTCTCAACAGGGACCAGATTTACAATGGTCTTAACTGGAAATTTTGGATGTCAACATTCCCAGCAGAAAGACAGGCTTCCCGAGTTCACGAAACAGTGCTTCGCTCAGGATGTTCCCCGGCAGAGCGCACCTGAAGAACCCTGCCACTGTCAGCGCTGACTGCAGCTCACTTAAATGACTTTAAAAGGACTTAGCTGCTGCCCTGGCTGGTATGTCTCAATGGTTGAGCGTCGACCCATGAACCAGGAGGTCATGGTCGATTCCCAGGGCCCGGATTCGATCCCCAGTAGGGAGCGTGTAGGAGGCAGTTGGTTGGTGATTTTCTCTCATCATTGATATTGTTATCTCTCTCTCTCCCTCTCCCTTTCTTTCCCTGAAATCAATAAAAACACATTTAAAAAAATAAAAGGACTTAGTTGCCTTCGTGTCCTCATTTCCCACTGGTCCATTTGACAATTTTTGGATAATAATCAATTATTCCTATCCAGTTCCACAAACAGTCATTTCTGAGGTCTCTACACTTCTTCTGCAGCAGCTGTACTCTTCCTAATGGTTTTTCTGGCTGGTCTTTTAGTTCTGCTAGTAATGTAATTCTTCCTATGGCAGCAGAGAGATGAGCAGTTTCCAGACTGGAGCCATCACCAGCAAGAGGTGGGGCTGCCGGCTTCCCTCACAAGAAGTTCCTGGATACCACCACCGCTCTCCCAAATGAAAGGGACACTTTATGCGGGGATTCTGGGAAGAGGCCTATCTGGCGCAGGTTCTTAGGAGGGCTTTGCTTGGACAGTGTGAGGGACATGTGGCCAGCATGCTGTGGGGAACCCAGAGGAGCAGTCCACATGTGTCAACATCAGCCATCAAGGAACAAAGATGGCCAGGCTGGAGTGGCTCATTTGGTTGAGCATCATCCCATGCACCAAGAGGTCGCTGGTTTGATTCCCGATCAGGGCACATGCCCAGGTTGTGGGCTTGATCCCCAGTAGGGTGTACAGAAGGCAGCCAATTGATGTTTCTCTCTTATCATCAATGTTTCTATCTCTCTCTCCTTCTTCCTTCCTCTCTAACAAAATCAATAAAAACATATATATTTTTAAAAAAGGAACGAAGATGGGAGACCACTGAACTGGACACTAAGATCCTAATAATTAGCTAAACATTGTTTTTGTGATTTCCCATGGGAGTAGCTGAGGGCTCCGTCATTGTGGGAATGCCTGGCATGTTCTTAAGAATTGAG